CTCGCTCGTGTTCGGCTCGTTTACACCCCTACACTAATGAATGTTTGATAATTAAATATTCAAGTATTGGAAATGTGATTATGTAAATGATAGACAGTTAAAAAATATATAGTAATTAATAGGTTTTTTAAACTCTTTGTGAAGTGATCATATCAACTAATACTTAATTGAATAAATTTGTGACCAATGACTGCTAATGTATATTCAAATACACAACAACATATGTAAAACCCATTAACCAACAAAGTTAGCTCGTGCTGGGATTCGTGTCAGGTCTATCCAAGCACCAGCTCGGTAAAACTAAGCATAATGGTTATGACATTCACTGAACAGCCAAGATTCTCACTAGCTCGTAGCTTGGTTAGGAAGACTGAGGAGCTCGCCCAATAACTAACTCAAGCACAGCTAATAACTCGGTCATTTACCTGTCTACTTCTAGCTTAGCATTTCATATAATTACAAAATGCGCCACAATTCTATATACTTATATTTTTTATTAGTATATTCTTTTTAATCATATATTATAATCAAAAGTATCTCATATTTATAAATAGATGGTCAAAAGTTGGGAATATGGACGCAATAAGAAACCATACTAAAGAATCATAGTTAGGACTTTCACCCGCTTTTTCTATTTCTTTTCTCATATTCTCTAATTCATAGATACTATAACCTAGATAGTGTGTTCACAAGTCCAAATAGCCCCATTTGTGATTAACAAATCAGCTATAAATGATTTGCTTCTAATGTAGTGTTTCTAATGCAACTAATGTAATAAGTAATATGTAATATAGACGACGACAACAACAACAACAACAACAAAGCCTTAATCCAATAAGATTATTTTTACAATTGAGAAAAATGCGGCTTTAGTTAATAAATAAAAGCAATTTATTGTAAAAAAAGACACCCATATAATCATATATCAAATAACTTTATAATTGAGTATTAAATGAGTGAATCATCAAGCTTTAATCGAGCTTCTTAATGAGTTTATTTTTGAGCTATGATAATAGTATTGATCATTATAAATTGAATATCAAGCTTTCCAAATTTATTCCTTTATCAATCGATTAGTTATATGTAATTCAATCATATTCAATTTCTTAATTAAAAGATAATGAACAAGCTCAAATCAAGCCAAGCCATGAGAAGCTTTTCTCACAAGCTTCAATATCTTCCCCATTGGTTTATTCCAAGATTCGACATCCTGCACCAGTTCCCTAAAGCCACAATTTTAAATTTGTGGATGAGAGATAAGAGCCCCTCTTCTGTGATTCTAGTTTAAAGAAGAAAGCCTACAAATTTTATCATTGGAATTTTAGCTATAAGAAAAGAGGGTAAAAATTTCATAACGAAATCATGTCATATTTAATCAAAACAAACTATGAGACTGATTTTGAAAAAGAATGTCAAGTCAAGCTTGGATTTTATATATAAAAAAAAACTTTAGGGGGTGGCAGTTCATGGATACATAGCCAAAGGTGAGGTGTTTGGTGCCACAAGCATCCATTATAATAGGATCACCTTGTCTATTTGGGACACCTTTCTGTCAGCTTTACATTTCAAACCGCCATCATAATTTTGTTAGGGAAACTATTTTCTAACAGCTAGCTAAAAATTTATGTGGTGGGAAGTTATTTTTTACAACAAAAATTGTTCAAGTGTGGTGAACGTAAAAAAATTTTTATATTAATTTTTAGTATAATTCTCACAATAACTTTCTAAAAAGTTGCTTCCTCACCTTAATTTTACAACCATCTTTGCAAAAAATTATAGCCGCCCCAAACACAAGCTTAATGTTATCGCACTGATTTAGATGTTCTGCCAAAATTTGCTTCTATTTATTATTTCAATGATCATGAAGTTTGGATTTTTATTTAGCTAGCGCCAAGTGCCATAGCAGTATACATTATTCATGAAATATTGTTAGAAATAGGATATAGTAATAAATGAAAACCAAACGGGAAAAAGGAAAATATAGCTCAGGTTTTCTCTTAATTACCAGTTTCTCCGTCCCCCTTTACCCAGTTATCCTTGGAGCTCCGGCAAGGCTCTAAGTAGCCGCATTTGCTTTGTATTAATCTTGCCAGGCAAGGATGTATCAGCTGACATCATGAACCTCCAAATCTGTGAAACCATCCACACCAACACCAAATATTAGTCCCGAGCTAACCTGGAAGAAGGAAATTTCAAGTAAACTTCGGATACAGCAATGAATGGATTTATATTATGGCAGCTTATCAAAATAAACATGACATAACAGCATTTAGATAGCATCAAAATCATGAATTAATGGAGCACTAAAAATTGAGAAAGTGAGAGACTGGGCACCAGGTATCACCATGGAAACTCTATGTGAAAACAGTAGGTTTAAGTTCTTTTTACAAAGCTGACTTTATTAGCTCTTATGAGTGAATCACGTAAACAAATTTTGTATCAAGTGAATAAGAGGGAATAACTTAGCTACATCTTTAACTAATAGGTACCAGTGACACATAACCAACAGAATAAAAGATGGTGATCCCAAAATTGAAGGAGTTAGGCATAAGAACTAGAGTGGAAAATGTTAGAAAGAGGAAAAAAGATGATGGGAATATTGCATGCATACCACACAATACTTGTGTATTTACATATCTAGCACTCAAAAGTTCTATATTCACAGTTTCAACACCTTGGTGTCATAAACCTATGCACAAAAACCTGCATTTCTATTAAAAAAAAAAATAGTGATGGTGGAATTTTTGATGTGATCTTAAAGATTTCAGTGATATGAATGTTTAGCTGTTAGGTATGTATATAAAATTACAAAATCTATTTTGTGGCATTGATCATACAAAATAAATATGAACGTTTAATGTAAATATGAATTGATCATCACATCAAAAATGCCTAACTTCTAATTTAATGTAATTTAAAATAAATATAAAATACAAAATCAACATTGTTTATATAAACCACCAAAGTTGTAAATATGAATTTATTTTAAATAGTGATGATGCAAGTTATTTTGTATATACATATTTACAAAATACAAAATCATTTGTGATGTGATGATATGTATGTAAACATGAATGTTTGTTAAACCTTCAGATTTGTAATTTAAAAAGAATTTAATTAGATGAATTAAATTTTAAAATCATTACATTAATTAAGTCGATTTTTAGGCCAAAGAGTTAAATTTCATTGCTCGTTAACAAACTGATAAAAAATATTTGAAATCACTTGTTTTATGTTTACAGAAATAGGAAATACAGGTGCAAAGATCAACAATGAATCAATCTTATAAACAGAAAGAAGAATGAAGCAGCAATTGAAGAAAAGAACAAAGATTCAAACATAGCATTAGCGGTACAAGTAGAAAAAAATGAAGAATTATCACTACGTGACAATCATGAGATAAATGATTTCTCATATGAAGAGTCATATATCGCATTTGATGAATTGATTAAAGAGTTACAAAAATAGATAAAGAGGCATATTGGCTCTAAAAACAAATCATAATCCTTAAATTGTCTCATTAATTTTTAAAAGATTAAGAATATTGATGATTTACATGATAAATAAGATTTAAGCTCTATGGTTGCATATGAAGATGAAAACAATTGGGCGGAGAATAGTGGCATAGCCACTATGTTTTAACATTATAACAACTTTGGTGGTTTCTCTATCCATATAATATATGATGCTAAGTTAAGAGGCAAAACATATCAAAACACTCCTTATCGGATGTGAAACTAAGGCAATCTTGATCACCTATCAATTGGAACTGCATAGGGCATGAAGGAAAAAACAATGTGTTACTTTTTTTGCACTGCCTTATCTTCCCTTTTTATTTGGTAAACCCCCAAAGTAATCTCAATAACTAGACTCGACTTCATAAAAAGTCAATTGCAAGGACTAAAATTATGATGAAGAGCCAAAAGAAGAATTAAATTTACAACTTTCAAAAAATAAGGAAGAACTCTTTTGCAAAAGTTTTAATATGTCTGACGGCCAATATATACTTGTCAAAATTTCAAGTAGCTGCCTTCTTCTCTCACGTCACAAAGCTAGCTTTGTAAACCTCGTTAAGTGTTGATTCAACTACAGCAAACCTCGAAATATCTGTCAAACTCGCTAAGATCTCATAGATATCCTTTCATCTTTCATGTCTTGCATCCAAAGAACAAAACTCAACCACTTCCATGTTCACCTCCATAACACTACAACCATGCAACTTTCCAACATCCATTCTTCCCAACACCTTCTTCAGTCTTCCATCTTCCAACATTGCCATAAATATATTTGATAGCACAACAAAATTGGCATCAACCGCAGGCACGAGCCTCGTGAGTCAACTCATAGCTATCTCCGCCAGATAAATATATCGTCATGCCCGACACACACCAAGCAGAACATGCCAAATAACATCATCGGGCTCCATTGGCATCTCCTTCACAAAGCAAATGGCCTCATTAAGCAAGCCAACATGACCAAGGAGGTCCAACATGTAGCCATAATGCTTAATCCACAAAGCAATAAAGTAACTTGTTGTCATGGATCTAAAACATCGAAATCCACTCTCAGCAAAACCCATGTAGACACATGCACTCAGGACTCCAATAAATGTTATCTCATCAAGCTTCTCTCCATTATCCCATATACGATCAAACAAGTCTAATGCCCCAAATCCATTTGATGCATCGCCGAACCACTGATCATTGAATTCCAAGTAATGCCGTCTCTCCTTTCCATTGTAGAGAACACATCAATTGCACTGTTGATGCAGCCACATTTCACACACATGTCGATGAGCTCATGTTTTATGTAGATCTTCCCATCAAAGCTGTTGCTCTTAGAATACCAATGGATCCATCTCCCCCAATCGAGAACACCAAGATTCGAGCATGATGATAACAAGAGCAAAAGAGTAGCATCATTGGGCATAATCTTTGTTGAAATAAGCATTTGATGGAAAACATTAAAGACATTTAAAAACTTACTGTGTCGAGCATGCCCTCAAATCAGCCCATTCCATTAAAACACATTCTTAACAGGCATGATTGCGAAGAACCTCACACAAGCCCCAATATCTTCCCCATCGGCATCGCCAAACAGGATAGTATTCCAAGATTGGACATCGTGCACTGGCATACTAGCAAAGAACTCCTCCGCGGCGGCCATATCTCCATGTCTATATAAGCCAAAATCATGGTGTCCCATACTATCAAATAATGCTCTTCTGACTGATTAAAAAGATAAAAAAAGCATTTTTCATATCACCAACAACAATATAAGCTCTTATTATCGCAGTCCAAACCACAACATTTGTTTCAGGCAAATCCTCAAACATCTTAAAAGCTAGCCCTGCATCTACCTTGATTGCATACCTTTCAATTAGGGAAGTTCCGACAAATAAGTTTGATCTGAGGCCAGTTCTTAAATCAAAACAGTGAACCTGATCTCCTGCCATAAGGGCAGAGATCAATGAACAAGACTTGATAACAAGAGAAACAATAATGAGGTTAGGTCTTACATCCCTCCTCTTCATTTGAGAGAATGGCAGCAGCGTCTCTCTGTGGAGGCCGGCCTCTGCGTAGCCTTTGAACATGACGTTCCAGAGAACGGTGTCCGGTTGAAGAATTTGATCGAACAGTTGACGGGCGGATTGCAGATTGCTGGATTCAAAGAAGGCAACGGCGGATTTGGGAGCAAAGCGCCGACTTTGGAGGAGCCCATGGATGATCATTTGGGATTGGATTGGAAGAGGTGATCAGTAAATAGGTCTGCATTTGTGGAGGACAGAGAAGAGACTCTGTTCTACAAATCTACGAATTCTGGCCGTCACTAGAGAACTAGAATTTTATAACAGAACTTATATAATAATATCAGTAATACAGCGATTCTGAGTTTAATTGATAAATTTATTGTTATATTTTTTTTAAATTTGGGATTAATTTTTAAAACGGAGCACCCCTAAGTAATTTCTTATTATTAGGAGCTTAAAATAATTTTAAAAATAAAAACTTATCTTAATTATTGAATTAAAATGTTTATAAATTTATAGTTTACATTTCATACATTTTTTAATATTAATTTATTTTATGATATTCATGAAATATATAAAGGTAAACTTTTTTTATTTAATTAAAATTTTGGAGCAGTTTATCTTTTTCTATAGTTTTTAACTATCTATAATCGACATAAATCATTTCTTTTGTCCTAAATAGATATTTAAAAATGAATGAAAACTTAAAACATTTAATAGAAATTGGTGATAAGTAGTTATTATTTATCTTAAAAATTCTAAAGTTAGAAATATACGCTTGGTGGAAGAAATTAAAATAATTAAATCGCATATTTTCTTCAGTAAAAATTTAATGAGAAATATTACGTTTTAAAAAGAAAATAAAAAATTAAAAAAAAAATCTATAAAAGTTCACGGCCTTAGCACCTTGATTAAATTATTTTTATTTTAAAACAAGTAAATATGATATAACTTTTTTAATGTAATATAATTATAATTGAATAAATTACTAATTAGAAAAAAAAACACATGCAATTAAAAAATAATAATAATAATTTTAATTTTACTTAACACTTCAGAAAATGCAAATTAAAAATATTTAAAAATGAACTTTAAATAATAAAAATTAAACTCATAAATATATAAAATACAGAATAATTCATATTACAACCATTATGCTTAGGAAGACTTCTGGTTTCACTTACTGATTACATAGTAAATAAAAATTTAAAAAAGAAAAAGAAAAAGACCAGCGATACAGAGCTTAAAAGTACCAGTGCAATTAGGGTAAGAAATATATATATTTTTTTATTTTTGCATTTATTTTTTTGAATCCATAGGAAGTATAAACAAATAAATAAATGTAAAATAAATTTCTGTTGTAATATTAAGATCTATATTTTTGAATGCAAACATAAGGAAATTAGACCATGTTTTTATATCATAAGACAAATAAAATAATGATAATAATAATTTGAAAAAAGTAAAATAATAATAAACTCTTAAATTCAGAGTACTAATTTAAAAATAAGCTTAATGAGAGAAGGCTAACTCCGCAAAACAACTCTTTGAGCCCATCTTAAAATTTTATTCATCTTAAAATGAATTATATTACATATAAAACAGTGCCATTTTAATCTTTAAAAGATAAAACGTACTTTTTCATGTATAGGTAATGCGACATGTATGTAATAATTGAAGTATTAATTGCTTAGATATGTAAATACATAGCAATCAAGCGGTATGTTTGATATTCTTCCGGAAAAAAAAAAATGGGTTTGTAATCATGTTCGAAGCTTAAAATTTGCTTCATAAGTTTAGTTTTACGACTGGAATTGAACTGAAAACTCGGTAACATAAACTTGGATGACATTACAAGTCAACATAAGCGTATTGACTCAAAAAAAACATATATATATATATATATATATATATATATATAAGGAAATCGGTATTTGGCAGAAGCCCAAATGCCGATTTCTCTTGCGCAAGGCCCCATGGTGAGAGCTCACGGCTTGTGCCTAAATATTCAATGTTTTGAGATATATAATTATTTAACTATGCTAGAATAAAATTTCTCTTTTCAATTTTCAAACTTGTAACTACAAGTTTGTTTTGTGAGTCCTAGTATGTGGATACACGTGCAAGCATAAATAAACACATGATTGACATGAAATATCAAAAATCATTCAAAATAAAACCAATCTTTTACTCATGCCTGCCGAGCTCAACTAATAGAGCCACCATTCAACCAAACTCTATTGGACTTGAGATTGCAACAAATACCTTTGAATCAAACTTTAGTTTTAAGTTTGGATCAGCACGGAATCAGATATTTCAGTCTTAATTCTAGAAACATTTCAATATAGACGTCCATATATGCAAAATAAACCAAATCAAACATATAAAACATACCAGATTTTCTCGGTGTAAGGATGGCTGAATAAACAAAAAAAGATCCATTTTGCTTGCCAAGTAACACCAGCTCCAGCATGAGAAAAAAAATCACCATTAGCGCCACCTCAACATAAAAAGGCTTCATTTTAAGAACACCATGGTGAAGATTTAGCAGAAACCAAAGAGGTCATCATAGTCCATATCAGAGACTTCGCCGTCATGATTATAATAATCAGAGTCACCATAAAGCCAGTCATGATATGAATCAAAATCAAATGCTAAATCAGTGATCGATTCTTCAGGCCCGTCAAAAACTTCACTAAACTCATAATCTGCAGTAGAGTCATTGGGAAGTCTCAAGTGTTTGACCAATTTGCATTTTTTCTTCAAATTTTCGTCAATCGTAATATTTAAACATCGACGAATATCAATATGTTGAAGATTGGGACAATTGTCGAGTATGGAAAATAACCCGAAAACAACCCAGTATTTGTAAGACTGTTTCCGATAAGCTGAAGACAATGCAGATGTTGCATGTGCGTCGCAATAGCCAAAGCCTCAGCATCAAAATTCCCATCAAAACTCTCATCACAATCACTGTAATAAACATAGTATGGTGTTGTATTAAGTCTGAAGCTCTTCAATTGCGGGCAAGCCAAGCTAACTGATCCAAGTAATTCAGCAGAAATGAAACAAAATGAGATTTCAAGCTCCTCCAACAGAGGAAATTTTCTAACCGCTTGAGCCAATGCCATTGCAGACATATTAAACATGGATATCAAACGAAGGCATCGCAGCTTAGTAGCTCTGCAAAAGTACGTGAAAGATTCAGAATAGTCATTCAGAATTAGAAAAGAAGCGCCACTTAGTAGCTCTGCAAAAGTATATGAGAGATTCAGAATAGGCATTCAGAATTAGAGAAGAAGAGCGCACCATAAGAGCATATGATCCATAGGCTTCTCAATCATAATGATCAATTATAATTCTTTTAGCAATACCTCTATAGAAGAAAACTTGGAGATGGCAAATGACCATCAAACTGTCAATATTTTTAATTAGTGTTTGTTTTGGACAATATGGACACTGAATCGGTCCAGTTCCTGTATTTTCCCATTGCTGCTGTTTGGTTTTTTGCCTTGATACTATCCAATGTTATCTATAGATAGGAGAGGCCTGGCTGAGCTTATGTATTACCTTATCATGAATTAATTTTGTTCTCTATATTCTTCTTCAGTCTCCCTTATGTTTTCATGGTATCAGAGCATTCTACTCCGCACCAATCTCTCCAGTGCATCTCACAGCTCCTCCCTCCCTCGGCAAGCCCTGTCTGTTCAACCTTTCTGTTGAGTTCTTCCCTCAGGTGCAATTTCTCTGGCTTATCTCCCTTCTGTTAGATGTCTTAGCTCCGTTTCTTGTGCTCAAAAACAGTTCGCACATTTTATCTTCCTCAGAGATTTGCTCAGCCTCCTTGATCATTTGATCTATCTCCTCTTGTCTCTGACAGCACTTGTCATCTCCCCTCTCTTGATCGTGTCTACGTGCTTATCTTTTTCAATTACTGAATTCTTTTTGTTGCAGACAAAGGTCCTCTGCTGGTTCCTGGCTTCGAAACTGCCTTTCACCTGTCTGATTCACCCTCTGTAGTTATATGCAAATCTTTTCTTTCTAAATTCTTCAATCTCTCTCTGTATTCTAGTTTCTGATTTCTGATTTACGGTTACAGACATAGGATTTTCTAAACTCTTCTTTCCCTCTCTTTCCATCTGCCTTCTTCATGAGCACTTATTCCAATTTCTCAATTAACATAGAAATGGCCACCAATTCTAGCAACTCTCTTCCCGCTGATCGCCCGATCTCTACCCAACTAAAATTTCTGTTGAGCAACATTAAAAATGTTATCTCTACAGCTCTTACCACTGATAATCATCCCACTTGAAAAGCACAAGTACTGAAATAATTCCGTGCCAACGGGTACGATGAATTTCTTGATGGTTCTTGCTGCTGTCCTAATAAAATCCTCCAACATGATTCAGGACTTAATATACCAAATCCTGATTATAGCAAATGGATTTTTTATGGATCAAAACCGCACTACTGTCATTTACTCCGTAGTTTCCCCATCTATTCTACTACATCTTGTTACGCTTGAAAACTGCGTTGAAATTTGGACCACTATTGAAAGAAAACTCCAATCATCTAATCGATTTCATATTCTTCAACTTCAGAACGAACTTCAGAATGTTTCAAAAGGAGATTGAACCATGCCCAATATCAAATATAAGGTCGACAATCTTGCCACGGCCTGTGTCCTTCTCTCCACTAACGATGTAATTCTTTATACACTTCATGGTTTGTCTTCCACCTATCATGCCTTCAAGACATCTATTTGCACTCACCTCCAACCAATTAGCTTGGATGATCTTTACACTCTTCTATGTAGTGAGGAACTCACCTTAGCTCAAAAAGCCCTCAAAGAAGGTGCTCCTTCTCAAACTACTACAGCGTTGGCTGCTTCTAATCGCAGCAGATACAAGGCACAACCTACCACTTCTTCTAACCGCAATTTCCCAAATTCTGATTCCTACAAGAACCAGTTTGGTTCATCCAAAGGGCAGCCTTCTCAAAACTTTCGGAATCCGTCTAATGTCCGCAAAAACAACAGCACTCGTCAAATCTGTAACAAAGTGGGGCACTCTGCATTTAAATGTTGGCACCGACATGATCATAGCTATCAGCTCACTACTGCCCATATCTTATATTCTACATCCAATTGTGACCAGCAGTTGATCTTAGACAGTGCAGTTGATCTTAGACAGTAGTGCTACTCAACACCTCAACCCCAACTCACATCAGCTTCACAACATTCAAGACTACAAAGGTGACAACTTCATATCCGTTGGAAATGGTCAAATTCCCATTATACATATTGGTCAATAACTGCTTACAACTCTAACTCATAAACTCATGCTTAATATTCATCATGTTCCCAACTTAGCCTATAATCTACTTTTGGTGCATAGACTAACTACTCAAAATTCTTGCAATATAACTTTTAATGCTAACGGTTACTCTATTAAGGATGTGCAGACCAACAACATTCTTCTTGAAGGTCCCTACATTCAAGGTTTGTACCCAATTCAACTTCCTTCACCAGACATCAATAAGTCCTCAAATCTAGCTCTCATATCTGTTCAACATGTTCCAGATCTTTGACACGGGCGGCTCGGACACCCCCACAATCATATTCAGCAATTTCTTGCCTCAAGTCTTCAGCATGTCATTCCAAAAACATCTTGTAATTCATGTAACTTGTCTAAAAACAGGATATTACATTTCTCTTTTTCTTGTACAAGACTACTACACCCTTGCAAATTATTCACTCTGATGTCCATGGTCCTTCCCCCACCTCTCATCAAAATTATAAATATTGTCATTTCTGTTGATTAATTTTCTCGTTTTACTTGGATCTATTTGCTTAAACATAAAGATGATACTTTTACTAAATTTCAGGAATTCAAATGTCTTGTTGAAAATCAACTCAATTCCCGCATAAAAATTCTTAGAACCGATGGTGGAGGCGAATGCTGCAACTTTAAATTTAATACTTTTTATCTCAATTTGGCATTCACCACCAATATACTTGTCTGTATACCCCCGAACAAAACAGCGTTGTCGAACGAAAGCACCAACATCTTATAGAAAAAGTTTGCACACTCTTACATGATGTTCATCTTTGGGCTGACACTTTAGTCACCGTTAATTATCTCATTAATCACTAACTTACCAAAACAATTCAATACAAATTGCCATATGATATATTATTCAATAAACAATCTAGTTATCAACACTTAAAAATATTTGGTTGTCAATGTTTTCCTTGGCTCAAGCTCTATCATAATCATAAACTTAAACTTTTATCCAAAGAATGTTTTTTCTCTGCTACCCTCCCTTCCAAAAAAGGATATAAATGCCTTGATATGTTTGCTAACAAAATTTACATCCCCATCAAGTTATATTAAATGAACGTGTCTTCCCTTTCAAAGAAAATCAATTTTGAACTCATCTCGTACTCAACCCGCCACCTCTATATCTCCCCTCCTACTGGTCTCTTCCACGGCTTTCTCTCCAACTTCCAATTCTCATAGTTGCACATCTCCACTACCCAGGTCTTCTACTACCCCTCCCACTGCTATTGATCTGCATTCATCCTCCGTTTGTGGTACTTCGTCTACTCCTGCCTCTACCGCACTTCCCTTATCTTTGCAACCTGATCCTCCACTTGCACCATTACCTCCTCCTCCCTCACATCCCATGCTCACTAAAGCTTAAACCGTTAGTACTAAACCTCATCACATTCTCAATCTCATTCCTCAAACTACTAATGATCCCACTACTTACTTATGGCTGCTAACTATGAACATTGGTGAAAAGCTGTGTCATCAGAATTTCAAGCTTTAAAAGATCAAGGGACTTGGGAATTGGTAACTCCCACGTCCCATTATAACATTCTTGGTTGCAAGTGGACATTTAATTCAAATGGGTTAGGGCACGATATAAGGCAAGACTTGTGGCTCACGGGTTCAAACAACAAGTAAGCATAGACTATCTTAAAACCTTCAATCTAGTGGCAAAAATTTTTACCATCCGAGTCTTTCTCACCACAGCTACTACCTACCAATGGCAAATTCTACCACTCGATGTATCCAATGCATTTCTTCAAGGTGATCTACATGAGAATGTCTACATGCAGTAACCTCAAGGCTTCCTCAATCAACTTCATCCTCTTTATGTTTGCAAATTAAAAAAAGCTATTTACGGGCTTAAGCAAGCACCACGTCAGTAGCATCACACTCACACTACATATTTGCAGCTTCTATACTTCCAAGTCAGTTCTGTCGATCCATCTCTCTACGGCTATGATTCCACAACAATGTTCATATCTATATTCATCTATATTCTAATTTGTGGACGACATATTAATAACATAAAATGACAATCCTACTATAGATACTATTCTTTGAAGCTTACATAGCAAATTCAAAATGAAAAATTTAGGTCTCATCTCCAAGTTTCTCGGCATACAAGCTACTCCTAACTCCTATGGTCAACATCTCAATCAAGCAAATTATGCTCAACAAATTCTTCATACTTCAGGCATGACTAACTCAAAATCAGTGCAAAATCTCAACAACACCAGGAAGCCCTCTGACCTCTCTGATCATAGGTTCTTTCATGATCCTTCTTCATATAGTAAACTGATTGGGTCTTTGCAATATTTAACACTAACGTGTCATGATATCACGTACTCTATTAATCACTCCAGTTAAACAATGCATCAACCAACTCAATACAACTTTCAATAATTGAAGTGTATCCTTCGATGTTTAAAAGACACTATTTCTCTTGGCCTACCATTTATTTGTGGATCCTTAGAACTTATTGTTTTTGCTGGTTGCTTTTGCTAACACTGATTGGGTTGGTGATCCTATTGATCGGAATTTGACTACTAATTCTTCCATATTTCTTGGATCTACACTTATGTTTTGGACAGTGATAAAGCAAGCCACCATAGCTCGCTCCTCGACTGAAGCTGAACGTAGAGCTTTAGCCATAACAGCGACTGAGATCGTATGACTACAACATCTACTTCAAGACTTTCAAATGAATCTTAATGCTCCAACACCTCACTATTGTGACAAAACCTCTGATGTCGCTCTTGCCAAGAATCTGGTGTTTCATGCCCGCACCAAGCACATAGAGATCGATTGTCACTATATTCGAGAATGCATCAAAAACAAAGTACTTATGGTTCATCACACCAACACCAATGATCAAATTATTGATTTCTTCACCAAATCTATTCCCAATTGAAAGTTCAAGATTCTTGGTGACAAATTGACCATCTTTGACAAAAACCATCAATTTGAAGGGGAATGTTAATGTTTTTTACTCAGTGTTTAGTTCGATCCGTATGGACTGTGAGTCGGTCCGGTTCATGTATTTTCCTATTGTTGTTGTATGGTTTTTTACCTTGCTTTTTGACCTTGCTTCTATCATATGTTATCCATAAATAGAAGAGGCGCACACACACACACACACACACATAGAAAGATAGATAGATAGATTGTTGATATAATGTATTTGGTAGAAGAAAATGTTCATTATTACTCCTATCGCAACAAACAATCTGCTATGTAAATATTTTTTCTGCGCTAAGCAAAGAAGAAATGTAAATACAGTATAAAGCTTCTCATGCATGTATACCACACAAATCATAATTGTGATATGCAATATTTTTTGATGAGTAAAGCAGCTTAAAGCATTAACACAAGTGGCGCCAGTCAAAACTATTTGAGCTTATAAAGAAGATAAATGAATTGAGATGGGCAACCAAGCAAACCACGTGTGTGCACACTTAAAAGTTAATGGTGATTATGTTAAACATATAAAATACAATACGAGACAGAACACCGACAAGGCCCGAATGAAATGATCTACAAATAATGGAAGAATAGATTAAATTAGTTATTAAGTAAAAGAGAGCATGGGATAAAAAAAATAGTGTATAGCCGAATTCCCCCAGATCGAGCCCAAGCTAAAATTTACATTGAACCCAAGCCAGAAACTAAAACTTAATCGACATATCTCCCGCCTACTCAGCTTAAAGCATATGCCAAACACTAGATCGGCCTTTATCAGCTCAACCACTCGACCGCGTCAGCTCAGCAAGCGCCAAGCCAAAGAAAACTAATTGACTAAAAGAATCACTTTCCAATGGGCATCCTATTAGGATACATATCAAGATGCACAATACATGTTTTGTATATTTTTTGTGTTGACTACAATGTAGTGTTTTCTAGAGTCAACCCAAACCTTAAATAGGGAATGAAGGGATTATCAGGGTTGTCATTGGGGAACCACTCCTCTTATACTAAAATTACAGGGCTTAATTTTCTCATATGTTCGTCGTTCTTTCTCTCTTCTCGGGCAGTGTGTGTCCATAGACAATTCAGGCTTTAACAAATAGATATAATAAGATGCAAGCAAGAGTGAGAAAAATTACTGCATAAACAGATTCTATCACTTGGAAATCCTCATATTGCTAAAAGAAGATTGAAAAGGTCATAAAACCATTTCTCAGAAATGGTTATTAACGTAAATTCAGAACTGTCAACACTTTTCATACAAAAAGAAACAATCAAAGTAGCTGACAATATTACTTGAAATCTCATTAGTCAAGAAAATGAAAGATTGTCTCTCGTAGCTATCGAACTGCCGACAACATAGACCTTCCAGAAAGAAAGGTAAAAGCAATAGTATAAAATCAGTTAAAACTAAACTGACAGCTCATAAAGTAAGATAGCATGAAGTAGAAGTGGTTCCTTTCCAATTACAATTGTAACTGCAACTGCTCAACTATCTTGTCACCAAACATCCATTTCACTTTGAAAATTTAGGATTGAATCCACTAATATTAGAGTGGTACTGAAAATTATTGTAGTTTCAATCTCAGGGACTCAAAGACCCAAGTAGAGTAGATCGTCCAGTTAGAGTGATTGCGCAGTGGAATTACCAACATGAAGCACGAACTTCAAAATAATGTCTTAGCGGAGAGTTAAAAATAAATAAATAAAACAATGCATACTCCTTCCCAATTGCTGAATGATTAGAGATTTTTCCTAACCTAAACCATATACGGATGTTAACTTCTGAAGTTGAGAGAGACAAAAAATCAAGAGAGTGAACTTGAAGCATATAATTTGAAACCAGCGAAGAACATAAATAGCAGTATAAAATAAATATGACCTGTCAGCGATATAGCCAAAGATTTCATCCTTCAGGCTCGCAAAGCCCTCTAAATGGAACTTCTCCAAAGATCCTTCGCTTCTGTCCGCGGCTAACATTACCAATGATTCCAAGTGAGTAGGGTCCATGCGCTCGTCCGGCATCGCCACCACGATGTGCCTCCAAAGCTCCGGCTCGTGCGATAACTGTCTCCACGGCCTGCACACAAACTGTGCTGACCTTAGGATCTCGACCGCTGCAATCTTCTTGAATATTACAGAAAGGACATCACGTGGAAGCTCTGCCCAGTTCCTCTGCTCCGCCCTGCTTGTTAACTCGCTGTCTTCTTCTTCTTCTTCTTCTTCTTCTTCTTCTTCTTCTTCTTCTTCTTCTTCTTCTTCTTCTTCTTCTTCTTCTTCTTCTTCTTCTTCTTCTTCTTCTTCTTCTTCTTCTTCTGCAGAGTCCGTGCTTTCGTAAAGCCTGCTAAATACAGTACGAATATCCTCCTCCGCGTTATCCCACAGTTTCCAGGCCTTGAAGATATTAGATCTTGGGGAAGAAGACTCTATTCGCGCATCTGGGCACTCCTTAACGAGATGACCCATTGCCCCACATCCATAACAAGGCCCGAGCCTACGGCAACAGCCATCACTTTTACAGTCCGTCGCCATATGACCTACCTCGCCGCAGCGGTAGCAAGCACCATCAAAGTACCGACGACCCTTGACGTAGGCCCCGCCAGGCCCAGTGACGCTGACGGCCCTTCTGCGGCCATCATCGCCCACGGAGACAACAAATTCGACGGCCTCGCCACCAGAAAGCGAGCGGAAACCCATCGCTTTGATCGAGGAATAGTGAACGAAGAGGTTCTCGCCGCCGTCCTCCGGCGTAATGAAGCCATATCCCCTCGGGACATCGAACCACGCCACAGTGCCCTTCACGGGATCATATTCCCCCGCCATAAACCTACAA